TCTATCAAAGCAACACCTGCTCTTTTGGTGGACCTGGCTCGACACTTACACCCTGGGACCAGGACTGCAGGGGCTATCCTGACCAATCATCTCCTCCAGGCGACCCAGAAGCAGGCATCCAGTCGTTTGGGCCACTCAGCAGAGTAGAAACAGCCAGGACTACCACTCAGTCAGGTCTCCTGACTCCCAGACCCTCCGTCCCCAGCGGCCCATCCAGAGGCCCTCCCCAAGCCTCTTCCTTTCGGCCTGGCCTGGCCCTGGCCCCCCTCCCTTAGGACAGTACTTCCCAACCCCACGGGGGGAGAATTACCTGTCATCGGAGTTAGAAACAGAAAACACACCCAAACCAACAGCACAGTCATCCCCGGGCATCACTCACAGAGCCTCCACCCTAGTGGACTTCGGGTGAGACAGGGCGTCTGCACATGGTCGAAGCTTCCAAGCGTCTTTCTGGCAGGCTTCGGGCAGTCTGCTGGAAGACCCTGCTCCACGGAGCGAGGCTGGTGCATCGGGGAAGAAGTGTCCAGGGTGAAGGGCACTGATGGTGTCAAGTGGCCAGGACTCAAGTGCTAACATTTCCGGCCCTGACATGAGCTTGGCAGGACATGAGGTTTGAGGAGCAGGGGACAGGGACGGTGGTCCTTGGCGCCCCCTCTCTGGGGGTCATGGCCAGGCCAGGAGTCCAAAGCGCGCCGTCTAGACCGCTGCTCTGAGGACAAGGGTTCACAAATGTGCTGCCTCCCCAGATGTCCGCGGCGGGGGAAAGGCGAGGAGCCTCCTCTTCGGGGACCGCGGCGAGGACAGAAGTCCGAGGCGTCCACTCTCGGGGGGCCATGGCGGCAGACAGGGTCCGAGGCTCCCTCCCGGAGGCGCGGAGCCGCGGACGCGCCCCCTGCTGGCGTCGGAGCGCGGGGCTCGAGCGGTCTGGTGGCGCCATCTGCTGGCCGTTCTGGGGAGCGCGGTCCAGCCGCCGGACACCGTCCTAGGGTCCTGGTCGGAGCGGTTCCTCCTTCGGTTTCTCCACCCTATGAAGCTCCGAGTCCCCACCCCACCTGGCAGCACCGGCCAGGACAGGTTGCCCTTCCCTGGGCAGCGCTCGCTCTCGCAGCGCCCAGGCTCCGCGGGAATTGGGCCTCTTTCATCGTTGACCTTCCCCCATGTCTTTGGCTGGGTCATCTTGAGAGAACTGCTTCACGTCCGAGAACAGAAGTTCAGTTTCTTCTTCTGTTAAAAAAAGTGGTGGTGGGGGGGGGGGGCTGGAATCTAACAATACCATGTGCCGGGCTGGTGCACAACCGGACAGGGCGACCTCCACGGCTGCTGGGGCAGCGCCTCCCAAAGGCTTTGGTCCAGGTGCCTGGAAGTCAGAGATGAGCCGTGCATCTGCACGGGGAGGTTCTGCCCCCTGAGTCAGAGATGCAGTAGGTGATCACCGAAATACTCCCTTCTGCCTCCAGTCCAAGAGCTTCCGGGCCACTTCCAAGTCCCCTAATTCCCCACGCTGACTCTAGCCAAGCTGAGACCCTGCAGCCATTCCTAGAGAGCCCAGTGCTGCTGGGCAGTTTGATCATGAGCCCGCAGGTGAGGCCCTGCCAGGCAGGAAGCAGCCTCCCCTGATCACCAAGACATAGCCTGAGTTTGGAGAAGACAGAGTGTTAGCTCTTTTGGGGACAGGGTCCATTCCATTCTGCAGGAGGCCTTCCTGGCCGGACTACCCCTGCAGTGTGCTTTCCCCATCCAGGAGACCTCAAGCCTTCCCCCAGGTGACTGTCCCCACCGGCTGGTGACACTCATGGAGGCTGTGAATACAGCAGTCAGAGCAGTGGTTTTCAAGCTTGAGAATGAAACTTTCTGAATCAAACATCAGAATCCTCTGGAAGGCTTGTGAAAACCGCCAAGCTCACTGTCCAGCATTTTGGTCCAGGAGGTCTTGGATGGAGCCTGAGAACCTGCATTTCCAACAAGTTCCCAGGGGATGCTGATTCAGGTGGTCCACTGAGAACCACTTAGAGTCAGATTAGACCTGGGTGTGAATCCTAGCTTTGCCACTTCCTAGCGGTGAGTCCCCGAGCTAGTTACTTGGCCTCGGCTTCCTCACCTGTAAAATGGGCACCATTCTCTCAGCACTGCAGGGAGTGTTAGATAAGATGGTGCACATGAGGACTCAGCTCAGGCCTGGATGTGGTAGGTATGCAGTAAGTGCCGGCAGACCTCCTTTGGCACCTAGTCCTGCCCTCGGTCCCCCTATATGTATGCGGCTGACACAGCAGAGCAGGGCTAGGAAGATGACAAGGGAGCAAGAACACTGATGATGGGGGACGCTGGGGGGCTCAGTCGGTTAACAGTCTGATTCTTGATCTCAGCTCAGGTCTTGATCTCAGGGTCATGAGATTGAGCCGCTCATTGGGCTCCATGCTGGGCATAGAGCCTACTTAAGAAATAAGATTAAATTAAATTAAATTAAAA